CACCTTTGTGTTGCTATCTACTCCTGAGCTGGCAGCTGGCCGAGGCTGCTTGGAGAACAGCTCTTCTCCAGGGCCCGGAGTTTCCCTGACGACTGTGCGCGTTACTGATGCCGAAGAACTGGATGCATCCGGAGGAGGTTTTTGGGGTTTGTGCAGCTTCTTATAGACCCCCAGCTTCCTCTTGAGATGCTTCAGCTCCACCGACGTCTTCCCTGGGGAACGGGTAGTCGTTGTGGGCTGGTGTCGGGAGAGGACGTTGACTCCGTGGAAAGGTCGGCTTCTTTCCACACTCCTTAATTTTTTCCCCAAGTTGTCCGGTACCGGTATAATCTCCACAGTTGTCTGCTTCTTTTGGAGTCCTTCCCGAATTTTCTCCAAGGCTCTAGCCCCTCGAACATCATAAGTTTTCATTAAATCATCTTTATAAGATAACTTTAACGAATTCTTATAATTTCTTGGGTCTTCAAGGAGTTTCCCCGTCTCGGCAGAGTCTTTTTTCGCGGAGTCGTATTTTTCCTCTGCGATTTTCCCTGGCGAAGACTGGTCGTGGGGTGGAGATTTTCCCCCATCATTTCCTCCTTCTCGCGTCGAATCAGCTTCGTCGAAGTTGATTTTCCCGGAATCCCGCGGCCGCTTTCGGATCTTTTTATTTTCGCCAGCTAGATCCGCAATCACTGGCGACTCCCGTTTTTTGGCTTCTGATTGGCTGAAGGAATTCCGCCACTGTTGTGTGCCCGATACTCTACGCGTGCGGCTTTCATTTTGCTGCAGTCGAAGATTCGATGACCCGGCACCCCGCAAAAATCACACGTGTAATTGGTGTTTTTCGGACGTGGCCGCCCCTCGAATCTGTCGACTTCCATCGGGTCGGCGAACGTGGTGTGAGCCGAGCGGTCGCCCTGTCGCGTACTGCCGACGTGCGTCCGTCGTGTTCCAGCGTTGACCATGTCGAAGCGCTCCGCTGCCGAAACGATGTCACTGTAGCTCGCGTAGTTTGACGCTGCGACTTGTCGTTTGACTTCGGTCTTCAGCCCGGCGAGGTACGATTGTACTTTTTCCCCTTCGGTCAGGTCGGGAATGCGGTTATAAAATTCCTCCATCTGCTGCGTGTACTGCACTACACTCTCGAACTGTAAGTGTCGATGAATTTTTTCCCGGGCAAGGAAACTGGAATTTATCGGCTCGAAGCGTTTCAGCAGGTCAGCGCGGAACTGCTGCCACGCAGCTTCACCATGGATGAAGGTACTGTTGCCGCCAATCCACTCGAGTGCCGGCCCTCGCATCAGTGTCGCCGCGAGTCGTACACGTTGACCATCCCAGACTGGCGAGCTCCATCCGACGGCTGCGAAGTAGATCTCCATCCTGGCGATCCATCTACGGGCGTCGGAGTTTCGATCGCTCGGATCGAACGGCTCAGGTGGGCGCGGTTTCGGAGCCTCAAGAAACTGCTGCGACTGCTGCGTCGTCGCCGTTGTCGTCTCGTGCTGCGCTCCGGCGAGTCGAGTTACTCGCTCGAACTCGTTTCGCCACGCTTCGCGATCCGCTCGCATTTCCTCCTGAAGGGCTGCGATGCGTGCGAAGAGCTGCTGGGTAACCTCGGTGTTGTGGAAGGTTGCCATCCTGTTCAAAACACACACGGAGGGGGTAATTCGAAAATCGCGGAGCTGGTGCTTACCAGAATCGGCGTCGAATTGGTCGCCCCTGGCGGTTTTTCGAGGCAGGTTTTCCCGCTGCTGCTGCTTTGTTGAGCGCGGCCGAGTGAGAAAAGCTCCGATACCAAGTGTCACAGGATCGAATGTGTCGAGGAAAGGTTGCACTATCGATCAGTACAGGGCGCTTTTATACTTCCAGAGTACATCAGGTAACCAGGTTTATCTTATCCTAGGGGAATAGACCCTTCTAGAAGATAGAACCACCCTGCGTATAGCCACGCGAGGCTATTGGCTTTAAGGGATTACAGCAGGATTACGCTAGATAGAGCGCACCAGTACATCCCAAGCCTGGTCGGTGATATAATTATAATAGCAGGATAAACCAAAGGTTAATGGAAAAGGAAGAATAGGAAACCAAATGAGATGGAATAAAAGAGAAATGAAAAAGGAAGGAAATAAGAAAAGGCCAAGTGGTGTAACGGGGTCGTACTCTCACAGTTAGGTCCTCCCCGCCCACCCACGCTTCTGCTCACGCCCTAGCCCTAGCCGCCCATTCCTAGCCGCCCCTTAGCGCCCCGTCAGCCCCGTGCACCCCACCGGCCCCGTTAGCCCCTTAGGCCCGTTAGCGCCCCCCGTCGGCCTCGTGCGCCCTCACGGTCCAGCACGCCCTCTCTGCCCCGTTAGCGCCCAGTCGGCCCCGTGCGCCCCGCCTGCCCATTAGCGCCCCGCCAGCACTTTCGTGCCCCCACGGCCCCATTAGCGCCCTGTCGGCCTCGTGCGCCCCTCTGGCCCTGCTTGCCCCGCCGGCCCGTTAGTGACCTTTCGGCCCGTTAGCGCCCTCCCGGCCCCGTTCGAGCCCCGTTGGCCCCGTCGACGCCCCGCCGGCCCGTTAGCGCCCAGCTGGCCCGTCAGCGCCCCACCGGCCCGTTAGCGCCTTATCGGCCCCGTGCGACCACTCGCCCCGCCGGCCCGCTCGTGCCCTCCTGGCCCCGTTAGCGCCCTGTTGGCCCCGTGCGCCCCTTTGGCCCCTTAGCGCCCCGCCGGCCCGCTCGCACCCTCACCGGCCCTGCCTGCGCCCCGTCGGCCCTGTGCACCCCGTCGGCCCTTATCAGCCAGTCGGCCCGCTAGCCGCCCAGCCCGCCAGCTCTAGCTCCGCCGGCCCCCGCTTCCTCGGCCGCCCGCCGGCCCGTTGAGCCCCTGCGGCGACCCACTGGACCTGGCTCCCTCAGCGCCGGCCTCTCTGCCAGCTGTCTCCACCGCTCTCCACCGCCCTTCACCGCACTCCACCACACTCCACCACACTCCACTGCACTCCACCGCACTCCACTGCACTCCATCACACTACACCGCACTCCACCCTCCTCCACCGCCTCCTCCTCCTGTCCTCCTCACTCTGTCAGTGGCCGTCAGCAGCTTCAGCAGTGGCGATGGCGGAGTCACAGCTCCGTCATGACGCAGAGGGTCGGGCGCTCGACTTTGAGGCGAGGCTCGTCGACCTCCGGCGTCACCTTACAGGTCAGCGCCAGGACGGTCACTCCCTGGCTGTTCATGTCAATGGCCTACTTCCCCGCCCCCCTGCCCCTGCTGCCCTCCCTGCTGCCCTCCTTGCTGCCCCACCTCTGCTGAGCGTGAGGCCTTTTCCGCTGCTACACTTGAGGGTGCCGTCTGGGACTTGCGCGACGCTATCGCCCAACTTGCTATTAGCCGTGCGCTCCCGATGTCTGAGCGTCCTCGCTTCACCACTGTAACGAACGCCAAGGCCTTCCTAGATGTTGTCATTGCCTGCTATTCCACCCCGGCCACTGCCTCTGCCGGTCGCCTGATCCTCCCCATGCTGTTCCCTGATCTTGCGTCCTTCCCCACTGTCGCCGACTTTGCCACACACCTCCGCGCGTTTGAGATGAGCTACCGCGCTGCTAGCACTGAGCTACAGCTCACTGACTTCCCGCCGCCGTTCTGCACTACCCTTAATCTCATCGCCAAGTGCCTCCCTGCCCGCCTAGCCACAGCCCGCGACCACTTCCTTAGTCAGCAACCGGGTGACCTCACTCTCACCGCCTTCGTCACTGTCCTGTCTGAGATAGAGACCCACCAGCGCAGTATCGCTCAGTCCAGCGGTACTGCGTCGGTACCTATCTTTCAGGGATGTGCTCCCTCCTAGTGCACTTACTCTGACGTCTCTGTTGCTGTTGCTGAGACCGCTGCTGCAGCCTCAGCGCAGAAGCATCCGGGTAAGGGTCGACGCCCCAAAGGGGGGCGTGGTGGGGGGAAGGGGGGTGGCGGCGGTGAGCGCGGGGACGGTGGTTCAGATGAGGGGACCGGGGCTGGTGTCCCGGAGCAGCCGCCGCAGCAGACGCAGCCTCAACAACAGCAGCAGCAGACTCAGCAGCCGCAGCAGCCGCAGCCGGCTGTTGCCAGCGCTTTGCTCTCCTTCACACTCGACTCCGGTGCGTCTACCTGCTTCTTCCACGACCACGCTTCCCTTGCACTTGCAGATCCCTCCTCAATTCCGGTAGTTGCACGTAGCTCCACCACCCTGCCCTGTCCGGCGGCCCCCTCGGGAGCTCTTACAGGCCTGCACATCCCCTCGTTCTCTAGAAACCTAGTTGGTGTCGGCTGACTTCAGGACCTCGGCGTCAACACCACATTCCCCGGACACGAGCGGTACGCTATCTGTACCGAGACCGCCTCAGATGCCCCCCTTGCAACGTTCCCTTGGAACCCTGTGTTCGGCCTATTTACGCTTGACACTGCATCCCCCTCGGTGAGGGCATCCCCCCAGGTAGCTGCGGCTTGCTCGTGTCGGTCGCTCACTCACCTGTCGTTGCTGTGGCACCACCGCCTAGGTCACCCTGCACTCCCATGTCTACATCACATGTCTCAGTACGGTCTTGTCCTAGGTCTTCCTGCGTTACTCCCTTCCCTACCTCCCTCGCCTGAGCCGCCGTGCACACCCTGCGTCGAGGGCCGGCTGCGCCGTGCTCCTCACTCCTCCTCCTTCACCCTGCCACCGCGCCACTCCAGACCCTGCACCTAGACGTCTGGGGTCGAACCCCCATCCCCGGGCCGCGTCGAGAGCGCTACTTCCTGGTGCTTGTCGACGACTACACGCGCTACACCACGGTGTTTCCTCTGAAGCGGAAGGCCGACATGCCTGACATTCTGATCCCGTGGGTCGTAGCTGCGCGAGTCCGCTGCGGTCTCCCCGTGCTATGTCTCCACTCCGACCGTGGTGGCAAGTTTGCCTCCGGTCAGCTTGGTCGATTCTGTCGTGCAGAGGGCATCACCCTGTCCTACACCATGCTGGACTCCCCACAGCAAAATAGGGTCGCTAAGCGATGCATCGGCTTGGTCATGGAGGTGGCCCGTACCTCCATGATCCATGCTGGTGCACTCCATTTTCTGTGGTCGTTCGCTGTTCGCTACGCCACTCACCAGCTGAACCTGTGGCCTCACTCCAAGCGGCCGCAGGTTTCACCGACCCTCCTCTAGACCGGGTCTCCTGGTGACGCGTCTGCGTTCCGCGTCTGGGGATGACTTGCTCACGTTCGTGCCTCTGGCACGGAAAAGCTCACTGCCCGTACTGTCCCCTGTGTCTTCCTTGGTTTCCCTCCTGACTCGTCTGATTGGCTCTTTTACCACCCGTCGTCTCACCGCTTCCTGCACTCGGGTGACGTCACTTTTGACGAGTCTGTCTCCTTTTAACGTCGCTTTCATTACCGGGGTCTCTTTGTTCCCCAACCTCTGTTTCAGGTTCTCACTCCCCCGGCAACCCCTGCTCACCTCCTCACGGCGCAGTTCTCGCCACCTGCCTCTTCCTCGCTGTCCCCTCCTCTGTCGTAGCAGTCGGTGCCGCAGCCGGCGTCGCACCCGCAGCAGCAGTCACCGCCGTCGCAGCAGCAGCCGCCGCCGTCGCAGCAGCAGCACCCGTTCGTGGCCTTTGGGGGTGCTGGCATTGAGGAGGGTGCTAGTCCTAGGGTTCCTGTCGTGCCTTGTCCCGGCGGGCTCGGGGGTGGCACCGGTGCTGGAGAGGGTTCTCGCTCTGGGGTTGCTCGTTCTGGGGGTGCTGGAGTGGAGTGTTTTAGAGGTAGTCGCGGTGCAGCTGGCGGTCCAAGTCTTGGCGTCGAGCAGCAGCAGAAGTAGTCGCCGCCGGAGTCAGCCCTTCGCCTGCTCCGCCTTCCCTCCCCTGACCGCTCACCTGCGCCTCCCTCGCCACCTCCTTTCCTTCCTGCCTATGGTCCTGTGTTTCTTCCGTCGGACTCGTCCCTGGCCCTTTTCCCACATCGTTCCCCCCTTGTGTCTCCTCCTCTGTCTCTGGACCCGACGCCTCCGTTTCACGTCTGGTCTCGCTCGTGCTCGTCCTCTCTCTCCTATTCAGCGCTCTCATCCTATGTTGCTTCGTTCCCACGTGTCTCGTCCTCCCCTCCTCCCGTCTCCTCCATCGTCGCTCGTTGTCGCGCCTCCCCCTCTGTCTCACTACCTTCGTGCTGCTCATCATCTTGTTCCTCGGGTCCTTGCCTCCCTCGCTACTGACCCGTCTGTTCCTGTCTCGAGTCTTGACGCTCTTGTCGCTGCTGTCACTGACTTCGCCTCTACCCACCGCCTTGACTATGCCACTGCTCTGGTCACTGACCCTATCTGTCCTCCGTCCGTCGAGGGTGCCCCTATCCTTGGCAGTGACGTCTTAGAGGGCAGGCAGTACGAGCTTGCTTTCCTGTCAGAGGCTGCTCCCCATCTCTATGCCCTCACTCCTCGTCTGTTGCCCAGTCTAGCTCTGAAGCTGAGATCTACGCTGGTGCCATGGTGTCACAGGAGCTCCGCTGGCTGACCTTCTTGCTCACCGACTTAGGTGATCGGCCTTGCTCTGCCCCGGTTCTGTACGCTGACAACAGGGCCATGATCCTCGTGTGTCAGGAGCCTCGACTTGAGGGCAGAGCGAAGCACATCCAGCTGCGGAACTTCTTCCTGCGCGAGCTACAGCAGCGTCTCCAGGCCCGCGTAGTACACTTGGCCTCCGGTGCCAGCACAGCTGATATCTTTACTAAGGCACTTGTGCCTAAAGATCATCAGCAGCACTCTTTGTAGCTTGGTCTAGTTCCTGTAGACTCTCACTTGCTAGGACCTTTATTGTGTACGCCTATATTTTTTCATACTGGCCTTGTGGCTTCTCTTCCAATGGCCGGAGCATTAATGCCGCCCTGGTTTGCTCTTGTCTTGATTGTACTCTTGCTAACTGATGTTCGGACTCTTGTCTCAGAGATTGGACTAGTAGTGCCACCCTGAGCTGTGTGCTTCTTGCTCAGCACTACCCCTTACCTAGCCTAAGGGGTGTGTCAAATTATACATACATTTGCATGTAGAAGTTCTAGGCTAGAATAGGTATGTGTTCTTAGAGAGTACAACCCAAACCCTATATCTTCCTTGTTCTCTCTTCCTGCTAATTCATTCTAATATTCTAATAGTGTGGACTTTGTTAGAAGGGTAACTTAGGTAGGAAGGAAGGCGGCCATGAAATGGCGAGAGGTTTAGGAGCTAGGAGGGGAAGTTGACGAGAGAAAAAATAGATGGAATAGAAGAGAGAGAGGCATACAAGGAGGTAGTTGTACCCTCTGCATTTGAGTTCAGTAACCCCTACCAAGTCAACAATTATATAACAAATATAATTTAACCCACCCCCTAGGCTTGATAGTGGCAAACCCACACACACCCACACCCCCTAACCTAGCACCCCCATACTCAGTAGCAGCGACAGCTACTTCAGCACGGTCAACCCCACGGCACGTGAGGCGGGGCGACGTCGACAACGAGGACAGCTGCTGCAACGGCGGGGACGGCGGCAGCGTCAACAGCGGCGGCGCCGGCGGCGTGTGGCGGCGTGGCCAGCGGCACCATTTGCGGTGGCGGCGGCTTCGACGACAGCTGCCGGCAACGGCGGAGCTCGCAGCACTCGGCGGCGTGGCCGGGCTCCGCGACGGTGGGACGGCCGGCGCGAAGTAGCCGTCGACTGCGGCAAGGAAGAGGGGACGCAGCGGATGGGGGGCGGGGCTTCAGCAGCGGAGTCCGGGAGCGTGCCACCCCGTGTGGCGCGCTGGCTGCATGCGGGCGTGCTGGCCAGCGCTAAGAAGAGGCGCTGGCCGCTGCCGTCCGTGCCGTCCGCGCGCTATCGCGTAGACGCCGCGGCAGCACGACGGCGCCGTCACGCCGCCACGGCTTGACGTCGACGCCACGACAGCGCGACGCCGCGGCAGCACAACGCGGCCGGCGGCACGACGATGCGGCCACAGCAGCACGACGCGGCCGCCATGGCAGCGAGAGAGAGAGAGAGAGAGAGAGAGAGAGAGAGAGAGAGAGAGAGAGAGAGAGAGAGAGAGAGAGAGAGAGAGAGAGAGAGAGAGAGAGAGAGAGAGAGAGAGAGTAGAAGAGCGTGGCGGAAGCGTGAGGAGCAGTCCCACAAGGAACGAACAGCTCTGATTCCGAATTAGAAGACTAACTTAGCTAGGAAGGAAGGCGGCCATGAAATGGTGAGAGGTTTAGGAGCTAGGAGGGGAAGTTGACAAGAGAAAAAAGAGATGGAATAGAAGAGCGAGAGGCATACAAGGAGGGAGTTGTACCCTCTACATTAGAGTTCAGTAACCCCTACCAAGCCTACAATTATATAACAAATATAATTTAACAGACTTAGCTTAATTTTTTGGGTTGCGAGGGGTGTGCGAGGAATGCCTCTGGGATAGAGGACCTAGGCGAAATTCCTTAGCAGGGGGGATTGAGGGAGTGGTTTCTCGAAATGTTAGCAAAAATTATGCGCCCGCAACCGTAAAAGCTGAGCTGGGTGAATGAGAATCCTTGTTGACCTGGCATAGCCGGTCGGGTGTGTGGACCAAAAAACACCCTGAAAAAGGTAGGTAAGGAAAATATACTGGGTCTGCTAGCGAACAAAACCTTCAGGCTAGTTCTTCCTTCCAGCCCATCGAGCGAGCCAGGGCACATCAGCAAGGGTGGAGAAATCCCCTCGACACATCAGCAAGCGTGGAAAATCTCTCCCCCCCCCCCCCCCTCCCCCCCCCCACCCCACCCCACGAGAAGTATGACTTCCGAGGCGTTTGAATGTACGAAAAACAGAAATATAGTACATCGTGTAATATACTACAGTTATGCGATAAACTTTCTTTTATTTTTTTCCGACACATCAATTGTTTTCATCTGAAAAATCATACTTGTGCATTCTTTCCGTCTGAACGTCAGACGAAGGCAAAAAAGTTGCCCTGAATATCACGCAGGCCTAAAAGTTAGCAAGGACCCTGCTCTTGAGTCCCTCATACGATTGAATGGATGACCAGATTCCATATATATCAAATCCTGTTTATGATGAGTAAAATGTGAGATTCACACAGAGCCAAAACTGCTTGACGAATACCGTATTCTCCCGGATACATTACCTGCCAGAATTAAGCTCCCATGGGTGGCTTGAGCGGGTTTGGTGTTTAATAAATTGGATCTAGTTACCACCAGGCCTCTGGATAGGATAAGAAGTACTCTTTCTTGTAAGGGTACTCGATTGTTGCCACTTTTTCTGTAAGGCTATATTTTTAAGCTACTTTGTAATATAAGGGTCCTAAATATTTGTACTTTTTCACATAAGGGTATAACTCCGGCGCAGCCTTACACTTTACTGTACCGTAGTTTACTGGATCTCGCGTGATCAGACGACCGACATGTTGCAGATCTGATGTGACGACGTGCCTTGGGCTTCTCTCGACAGGGTGCGCCAAGATTTTTGTTTGTTAGCGCTGAAGTGGAGGGAATGCCACACCTCGGTAATTTTGCTGTTATAATTTTTGTGGTCATGGGTTAGGGTTTTTTTCTATATCAGTGCGTTCAGTACCAGGGAACCAAACTTCGCGAACTACCAAATCGAAATGAACAGAAATTCGCTTTTTGACCCTCGGACCTCACTGTTTCGCGTTTCAGACTGCATTTCGGGTTTGTTGTTCCTCATTCCCTAGACCCTTCATGGTCGCGACCTGAGTTCCGTTGTGAGTGATTTATGCGACACTCGTGTTTTCGTCAATTTAGTGAGCTGTAGGGTACTTGAGGGGCAGCCCAGAGGCTTGGTAAAAAAAGTGTGCTATGCACTGACTACCCAAATGTGAACAGTGTTTGGGCTGCCTATATAATTCATAGTTGCCAGACATGCGAGTTAAGGTGTTCCAAATACAAGCCTTTTTGGATTTAGGGCTGATGCCACCCTGAGTGATTGTGCCCCTCTCGTTTTTTTTTTTGTTCTTTCATTTCTTTAACTAATGCAGTGGAGGATTCGACACTATCGACACGAATTGAGCATTCAAGATGGCAGATTTTGTATCTGTGTGTCTCGAGTGAGTGGCAGCCATAAAAAAACGTAAACCATTACAGTAGCAAAAGAAAATGACGGCGGGAATCTCCATCGTACGCGGGCAGGGGCCAGTTAAAAACTCGTGAAAACATAAATACAAGTCGCCGATATTTCGTAGGCGTGAGATTTCCTCGCCGAAGTGGGTAGGGGGGAAGAGAAGGTGTGACATATCACGTCCAGAACTTTCTTTTCGTTTCCGGCTACCCTGAAATTTCAAGGTAGTTATTCCCCCAAGTCTGTCTTGAACACACTTGGCATTGGGGGACTTAGCCGAATCCTCCTGATTGCGAGGTGTATGGGAGGATTGTCTCTGTTAGTGGGGGACTTAGCCGAATCCTCTGGGTTGCAAGGGTACTCCAGGAGCTCAGTCTCTGCTAGTGGGGGACTTCACCAATTTTTTGGGGTCGCTCGAGGGCTGTGGGAGGAATGTCTTTGGCAGTGGGGGACTTAGTTGAAATCTAGGGTTGCGGGGGTATAGGAGGAATGACTCTCGGATTGGGGGGACTTAGCCGAAATCTATAGGTTGCCAAGGGAAGAAATTCTTATAGCGGGGGATCGCATGTGTGATTGTGTAAGGGTGATTTTACACAACACTTTTCTGCATCAGGGTCCCTACACTTGACCACTCTGAAAAAACAGGGTCCCGTACAGATCTAGTTTTTTTCATAAGGGTCCAAAACAAAACCACTTTTAAAAATAAGGGTCCAACACCTAACCCACCATTATTATAAGGGCTGAAAGGGTATTTTACCCTGATATCCTGAGGCCTGGTTACCACCCTAGTTTTGGGCTTGAAAACAATTGAACACCCCCCCCACTTAGAATCTATTGGGCTGAGAAAAAGCCTTAGGACCTTTTCAGAGACTAAGTCCCACTTGTACAAAACGCTTGAGTAGTGCAGCGGAAGTGTTGAGTAGTTGAACCCTTGCACTAGTATGTGAGAGCAAGTGATTGATTAAAAGAAACGAGCATACAGCAATATATAGAAAATAGGAAATGAAGCAGTTGTAGAATACAGTTGAAGGAACAGTTATCGAGTCGCACAGCGACTCGATTGTCTGTTCGTTTACCACCCTTGCAGTCGCAAAGGTCAATCGCAACCTCCGGTTGCGACCCTTCGAGTCCCTTCGCCCTTTCGTATTCTTTCGTCCAACCTCCTCGTGTAACCTCCGTTGACTCGCGTACCCGATAAGACTTTCCTCGAGTGTAGTGTTACACTTCAGAAAACGCTTACGTCTTCAAGGTATTTCCAACACTCCCCTTCGTTTCTGGAGTGCTGACGTGTCCGGATTCGGTGACGTTTATCTGCCCGGTCAGCAGCATGCAGTAATCGAACTTTGCCTTCGCCAGTTTCTTCGTCAGGTAATCTACAGCCATTTCTGTCGTGGGGCAGTAACTGAGTTGAAGTCTCCCCTTCGCGATCTCATCCTTGACGAAGAAATACCGCGGGGCGATGTGCTTGGTTCGATTGGCGAACCCGTTTTTGTTCGTGATTTTGATCGCGGATTGGTTGTTGCAGAATAACGAGAAGGCGGGCATGGTCGCAATTTTCGCTTCCTCGAGCAGCTCCCGCAGGTAAAGTCCCTCTTTGGTCGTAGTACAGAGAGCGATGTATTCCGCTTCAGCCGAAGATAGTGCGATTAGTTCCTGCTTGCTCGACTGCCTTGAAATAGTCCCGATAGGCTCTAGTCGGTAGATATAGCCCATTCTGGAACGCTGATTCCCCTTGTCTCCCGCGTGGTCAGCGTCGACATAGCCGAGTAGTTGTACGGACAATGGTGTCACCTTGCTGTAGGTGAGTCCGATCGTCGGCGTAGAGACGAAGTAGAGCACTGCCCGATTCAGCTCCTCGAGGTGCTCTTGCTCCGGTTGCTTCAGGTGTGTCGCCAATTGACTAGCGCTGTAGGACAGATCCGGTCGGCAGGTTACGGCTGCGAACAGGAGACAACCGAGCTTCTGTTGGTATTCCTGAATCTGCTTAGTGGGGAGCTTTGCAGAGGTTTCGTTGTTGTCGTTCCCGTACCGATAGGGAGTCGCGACTGCGACCGGTGTTAGTCCGAAGTTCTTCGCGATGACGCCTGCGTACTTTCCGGCGTGTAGGTAGAACGCCAAATCGTCTTCGACGACGTTCAGGCCTAGGTACTGGGTGACGGTGTCTGACACCGTGAGTATTAAATCAATCTTCAGCTCCCCTTCGAACCAGGTGACGACGTCGGTAGTGGAGCCGACGTAGAGCAGGTTATCGACGTAGACGATGAGTAGGATAAAGTCGCCCCCCTTCTGTAGTCGGTACATCCCTTGGTCTTTGCGGCAGCTGCAGGAAGCCGATCCTGACAAGGCGGCCATGAAGGCGCTGCTGTCAAAGCCGCGGGGCTTGTTTGATTCCGTAGAGAGATTTTATCAGCTGGCACACTTTTGTAGGATCGTCGATGAAGCCGTGGGGCTGCTCGACGAAGATCTCAGCGTCCACAGGTGCGTACAAGAAGGCGTTGGCGACGTCGATCTGCCGCAGTGGTAACTTTTTCGTGGCCGCGACGGCGAGCAGAATGCGCAGGGACGTATGTCAGAAGACTGGGGCGAATGTCTCCGTGTAGTCGGTTCCGTATCGCTGATCGAATCCTCGGACGACCCAGTGAGCTTTGAAGCGGTCGATGGAGCCATCCGCATTAGTCTTGATTCGGTACACCCACTTTCCCAAGAGCACATTCTTCCTGTTGGTCTTTGTTGCAGGGACTAGCTTCCACGTGTTTTGGTCTTACAGGGCCTTCAGTTCTTTTTCCATTGCTTCCTTCCATTTTGCCTTATGTTCCCCCCCCCAGAGCCTGCGATAGAGTCGTTGGCTCGCGCGGCGACGGCAGCGGCGGGCTCTGGACGGCGACCCATAGTCCAAGTATCTGCAGGCCCGTGGGTGTGTGTCGAGGGGAATTTTCATTCCCGGGATAAGCTGTTTCGTCACCATCTTCGGGGTCAGGTAAGAAATTCGGTCCGATGCGTTCAGAGACATTTGTGTCAACCGTTTGAGGTGTAGTGTAGCCCTGCTCAGCGAAGTAGTAGTAGGTGTCGAGGTTGTTACTATCGAGAGGGTTGTCATCGTCAAGTGGAACG